CTCCTTCTCCATCCTGCTTCCTTTCCTCTTCTCTTCTCAGCCCCACCCTCCTTCTGGGTGGGGCAGGGAACCTGGAACTTCCCTTTTTCCTAGGGACTCCCCTGTTTCAGTATTAATATTGCCCCTTCACCAAACTGGTTTGTTAACTCCTTACTGTGAGCCACTCATTTGCATACAAAAAGTCTCAGCACTATACCTCAGGGCTCTCTAAGTGTCCCTGAGTTATTCTCTACCAGAGCAAGTGAAATTGTAGCGGGGGATGGGTGTCTCTGGGGATGGGGGGCCCTTTCCTTTTACTAAAGCCACACGGGAGCAGCAAGCATGTGATGAAGAAACCGGGCTTGTTTCCTGACCCTGGGCTGGTTAAGGCAGATGTGGGTGAGAGACCTGCAGGGAGGTGACCATGGCAGTGTTTATACATAGGCCCCAAATCGTAGGGCCTATGTAGTTAGTGAGTTTATGTATAAAGAAAGCGCGTAACATTTGGGATCCAGAAAATGAGTTAAAATTTAATTTCGCAAATATTCATTTCAATGAGCAGTAAAGAACAATCATATGGGATACAAATCACATATGGTAGAGAATCAATGACTGCACACTGTGTAAGACTTAACCTTCAGAGGAAGAAGGAAGGCCTGCTCTCCTGACGGTAAGATGCGTGTAGGAAGACAGCAGGAGTTCTGGATTTGGGGAGCCGTTGAACACAGGCTGCTGACACAAGCTATGCAACCTCTATTGACAGACACGGTACGGGTGGAGGGGAAGTGCTCTGAAAAATCAGACTTTCCACGCTAACTTATGTCATGACCTCCCTTTTTTGTATAATCGTAATATCAAAATATTTCAGCTTACACTTGGATTGCCTCAGCTTCAGGAGGTGCTACCTGGCCCTGACAAGCAAGTACTGCACCAGGGTGAGAAATTCCTCTTGAAGTCAAAAGTCATTAAACAACTGGCTGATTAATAAAGACAAATGGCAGTTTCTGCAAAGTCTCTCACTGCCAGACAGAGGAAAACCCAAATCTTATCCCTCTATCTCACCTAGCCTTCTATTCAGTTTCTAAATAACCACTCAAGCTTTCTACTATCTAGTCTTTGGATATGGAAATTCACCCAAGTTGCCTATGCAGAGCGAATCAGGTTTCAGGGACTTTATTTTGGTCAGTTTTCACTGGGGTAAATATAGTAATATTAGTCTTAAACTTTGTGAATCTATGTACTTGTTTTAACCTTGATAGATTGATTTTAAAAATGTTATAACCTCGGCCCTCCCTGGTGGCGCAGCGGGTTAAAGCACAGCACTAAGAAACTAAAGCCACTTCCGCATGAGTTCGATTCCCGCCTGCCCTGGAGGCGACCGCATGGCGCGGCAGACCTCTCCTGACCCGCCCGCTGCTCCCCTCAGCAGTGTACTTCGTCGATCTGCCTGTTCTGCTCCCCGCTCTGTCTCTGGTGACTCCTCTCACCCTCCGCATATATGGCCTGTACCCCAGTTCTGTACGAATAAATAAATAAATCTTTAAAAAAAATGTTATAACCTCAACTAAAGGTCAAAACGACCCCAGACTATTCTTAGCAAAAAGGTGATTGTGATCTCAGCCCCTTTCATCTGCTAATGTCACCCTTCTGCCTGCCTGAAGTGTATAAAATAAACCTCTGCTAAAGACAGAGCAGGAAGACTTGCACCCCAATCCCATTCCCGTGTCTTCCTCACGCTCGCTCCCTTTTCCCCCCTTTTTCTAGAAATCTCCGCTCGCCGACGCCACTCCCACCTTGAGACCCTGCCTGTTCTGCCCCCCAGTAATCCGTGATGGGGACAAAGTCTCCGATAGCTGCCACTCATTGACCTCTCCAGCTGGGAGCGGCCTCCCTTGCACAGCGCCCTCCCTGGGCAGCCTTGACCTCTGCCTATTCCTCAGACTGTAGATCAGCGGGTTCAGCCCGGAGTTGAAAAAACTAAACCAGGAAGAGGAACTTCTGCTGCTCCCCAGGGTGGCGGGATTTGGGGGCCACGTCCATGATGGTGGCGCCGCCAAAGAAGAGCCCCGCTACGCCCAATGGGAGCAGCGGGTGGAGAAGACCGGCTCCCGAGGGTGGCCGCCCGGAGGGCGGCTAGGACGCCGGCCCCAGGCAGCGGGGCCCCACTGAGGTAAACGCACACGCAACCACGGTGACCACCTGGGTGAGCCGGGCGTCCGCACAGGCCAGCTTGAGGGCAGACGGGACCTCCCAGAGAGGTGTTGGCTTTACGGGCCCGCGGGGAGGCTGTGGGGGTGCCGCAGGAGGAGGCTCGCGTGGAGCAGAGGGGCGCCATGCGTCTAGGGGTTGACCGCCAGGGCCGTGCACATTCTCAGCTCATGATGACAGAGTAGTGGAGCGGGTGGCAGGTGGCCACATACCGGTCATAGGACATCACCACCAGGAGAAGACATTCTGTGACAGCAAATGTCGAAAAGAGGAAGGTCTGGGTCATGCCGCCAGCAAAGGAGATGGGTCTGGCCGGGTCCAGGAGGTTCACCAGCATCTGAGGCACCTTATCGCAGGCGTAGGCAATGTCGACCATGGCCAGGTGCGAGAGGAAGAAGTACAAGGGGTTTTCAGTCTGGAGTCCAGAGGGGTTAACTCCAGGATGACCCTGCTCCCCAGCAGGGTGAAGGCTAGCATAGAGAAAAGTCCAGAAAGGAACATGAATCCTTGACTAAGACCAAATCCCAGCAGGATGAACTCTGTAACTATTGTCTGGTTTTCCTCCATTTCTCTATTAAAGATAAAACCAGATCACATAATTATGTGAAGGCAGCTACTTTATTTATTGTTTCAGGTTTTTTATGTGCAGAAAATGATCAGGCAACATCTTTAGGAACTCATTGAAGTAGAAAGGGAGAAAGGAAGAAAATAGGAAGATGTTCTTAAATTGTCAAGACCCCTTGGTCTAGGAAATTATCAGTAAATACTAAGAAAAGGTTTATGTGAAACACTGTCTAAAAATCAGAATAAAATTCTTTTTTTAAAACAGGAATTCTTGTGATTTCCACTGTGCTAATATGAGTCGTGAGCCCTAAAATGACACATTTAATAAGCAATAATTCTCAAAGTTATTTGGCCACAGAATTCCTTGTGAGGAATGTTTTAAGGAAACATTTTGGGAGACATGGGACTGGACCATTGCTTGGAAAGGATACTATAAGGGCCATGCTTCCAGATCAGTGTCTTCCAAATCCAGCTGCATCAATTTGCTATTAGAATATATGAAGACATAGGTTTCTAGGTGATATCCCACATTAGCTGAAACACTGATCTAATGGTAGGCCAGAGACAGCTCTATTCTTAATAATCGTCTCAAACAATTCTCAAGCTGAATTAGGTTGAAATCTATTGAAATATCTTTCTAGGTCATAGTCAACCAAGATGCCAATTTTCATCAATTTCTCGCTCTGTCTAGCCCAAGAACTCTCTTCAAAGCACTTTTCACTTCTGCATTCCTGAGACTGTAGATCAAGGGGTTGAGCATGGGATTGAAGAGGCTGTGAAATAAGAGGAGATACTTCTTCTGCTCTTTGGGGCTCCCATGTCGGGGTCCAACATACGTGATAATGGCCGTGCCATAAAAGAGTCCAACCACACAGAGGTGGGAGGAGCAGGTGGAGAAGGCCTTCTGGCGCCCCTCCCCCGACTGGATCCTAAGGATGGCACAGATGATACATACATATGAGATGACAATGGAGGAGAAGGGCCCCACCAGCACAGATGTTGCTCCAGCCAACACCATAATCTCATTGATATGGGTGTCTGCACAAGCCAGTTTGAGGATGGCTGAAATTTCACAGAAAAAGTGATTAATTTTCTGGGATCTACAGAAGGGTAAGGGCAAAAGTAACACTAGATGGATCAAAGACAGCAGGACACCGATGGTCCAGGAGATCACAGCGAGGATGACGCACACTCTCCAGCTCATGATGACAGAGTAGCGGAGCGGGTGGCAGATGGCCACATACCGGTCATAGGACATCACCACCAGGAGAAGACATTCTGTGACAGCAAATGTCAAAAAGAGGAAGGTCTGGGTCATGCAGCCAGCAAAGGAGATGGGTCTGGCCGGGTCCAGGAGGTTCACCAGCATCTGGGGCACCGTGTTGCAGGCGTAGGCAATGTCGACCATGGCCAGGTGCGAGAGGAAGAAGTACATGGGGGTGTGCAGTCTGGAGTCCAGAGAGATGAGTCCCAGGATGACCCCGTTCCCCAGCAGGGTGAAGGCATAGAACAGGGAGAAGAGTCCAAAGAGAAGCATCTGAATCCCTGGGTCAAGGGGAAACCCCAGGAGGGTGAAATCTGTGATATATGTCATATTGTTTCCCATTTCCCTGAGACAGAAGAAATGGGATAAATGTATATGGCTGAAGAGAAGTGATTGAAGATGGATTTATTTCAATCTATTTACTATTTTTGTGTGGGTCAAAAAGTTTTCAAAACCCATTCAGTGAATTTTCATGTTTTTAAGTGAATGTATAAGGACTTTATTTGGTAACCTCAAATAAAGTTTTGGGATTTGGTAAATCCAAAATGCACACACATATATCTTGTTATTGTCAATGTTTACAATAAGGGTTACATTTTCTAAATAAATATATTGTCACATATTAAGTAAGCACAGTTTCTTTCTTTCTTTCAGTGACTTACCCCATATCCTTGAAAGTAAATTCCACTTTGCTTTGCACAGATCAGAGTTGTTTATTTAAAGTTTTCAGAAACAATGACTCCTAGTTGATGCACGTACCACAGTCCTAAAGCTACAATAAATTTCATATCCACTTGGAAGCTTTCATGAAGTGCAGTGTAACCATCCTATTGACATCCCAATGATACTCGACACGTCCAGTATGCTGAGAACAAAATAACTTAATAACTTGCAGGTATTCTTAATTTTCTCTTTTGTGCCTACTGTTGTTTAGAGGATGGAGCAAGCAGTGATAGAAACGCTGAACTTATATTCAGTGCTCCGACTCACAATGAGTAAATAGGCACCTGTACCGAATATCCTTCCTTAAATATGTACACATTTTTGACTCCCTCTATATGTGACATGACACTTTAAACATCGCTTTTAAATAAGGAGTCGGCCATTTTTATTTTACATTAAAGTTTACATTTTTATTTTATCAGCAAATCACTTGCACATACTACTTCTTATCTTAACAATAACTACTAGTAAAACATAACCATATTCTGCTTACATTAGTATGTTCATATTGCTATTAATTACGATTTTACTCAGATACCTTATTAAGCTCTCAAGGAGCAAAAACTGAGAAGTAATGAAAATGTTACTTTAAACATTAAAGTATGATAGTGAAATCTAACAGGTAATGAAAATGATATTAAAATATGTTGGTCTAGAACTTACAAAGCTGTGTGGCTAGAGATGACTACTTTGCAAGGATCCCCATAAATCTTCATACAGAAATAGCACACATATTTGGTGTGACTTAGTTTACTGACTGCACTCAAAGCGTTGTGTCTCATCTGAGTTCGGCTAAGAAAGGATCCTGAATCTTCAAGATGTTTTTGAGAAGAGAAGGCTTTATGAGTTTGTTATTAATAAACAAGTCGTCCAGGGGGCGCCTTCGCAATTGTCACGAGGCCCCTGTGTTAAGCACGAGATCACATCGCTAGTACCAGCTTGCTCCCTGCGGAGGGATAAAGCATCCAGCCATCGGTATCCTTCCGGGAGAGGAAATTGTCAGCCGTTTCTTTTCTGTCTCCGAGGAAGCCAGAGATGGTGAGATCTTTAGAGGCCAAGTAAGAAGAGGTATTCCCTGTGTAAATAAAGCTTAACTACATATGAAGTCATACGATAGAACCACACAATGTTATGGTTACACAAATGCATCAATTTGTTATCTTCATGAAAATTAATTTTGTTCTAGTTCTAAAGCCTTTGAGAGGCACTTAGGAAATGCAAAGACCGAAGCTTGGTTGTTGTTTGACAATGAAATAGTATCTTGATATTAATTACTGTAGCTATGCTTCATTTGTTGTAGTCGATTTTCCTAGTTATCCTGAAGATGGTAGATGGGTGAGCTTGAATGTCAAGGTCTTAATCACTAGATCATTTTCGATTGCAATATATATTCTTGAGCATAGATCCACAAAGGCGAAGGGATTCATGATACACATGCCCAGAGCTTCTTAGCTTATTTGGAAGAAGGAAGGATGAGGCAGAAGGCCCAGCACAGCAAGCTGGGACCGGCTCAGATCCGCTCAGACCCAGGGCCAAGTGGAGGCTGGGCCCAGGCTACCTCTGGGTGGGTGGGAATGGCCTCGGGTCATCCAGCCCAAGCAGTATGGAGGCGGTTGACACTGATCAGTTCCAACTTGGTTAAAACCAAGACGCCGGAAATGTGGAAACAAAACAACTTGGAGGAACCTCTCCGTATCTTCTACTTGTAACAGGTAATTCTGACATCACCAGCCCCTATTTTCCTTCTTCGTAGCTTCTTTTTCTTCTTTCCATCCTATAAAATCAGTGTTTGTTCCCTAATGGGAAAGATAGATTTGAAGGCTGGCTCCTCCTCCTTGCTGCTCTGTCTTACAACATATTCTTTCTTCATTCAAGAGCTAGTGTGTCTACATGCATCAGGAAATTTTTGCTGGGCATTACTCTTCCATGTGATTCTGCAAATACTGTGCCTTGGTATTTGCCCCCAAATGTTGAAGACGATGTCCTCACAAAAGTCTGCTCACAAATGTTTATAACATTATTCATAATTTTCAAATATGAATGTAAGAAAAATATCCTTGATGGGTCAATTGATAAATGATCTGGGATATATGATACAATAAAACTCATTCATCGATAAAAGGAAATGACCTATTAAGTTAAAGAAACTAAGAAAATCTTTGTTTTTTCTTGAAGGATTTCCCTTTATTTTATTTCGTCTTTTAATAATTATTTTCTTATATCTTTGTAGTGCCCACAGTTCTCTCACCATCATGTGACCCGCCCATCACCATTTGTGTTCATCCCTCCTCTGTTTCCACCCCTCCCGTCCTCTCTTTTGCTATTTGCCTCAGATCATGGTCAGCTTGCTAGTTTTGACTTTTACTTGACCTTTTTTTTTGGTTTCTTCTGTGTTCGCTGTATCAGTGAGACCATCTAGTATTTATCATTTTCTTCTAATTTGGCTAGTATCATCCCTTCCAACGCCACCAAGGTTGCTGCAAAAGGCATGAGTTTGTCCTTTTTGATTGTGGAGTAATATTCCATTGTGTAAATATACCACAACTCTTTGATCCATCCATCAGTTTGAGGGCATTTGGGTTACTTCCATATATCGGCTATTGTAAATCATGCTGCAATAAACATAGGAGTGAAGTTTTCCTTTTGAATTAAGAGTTTTTGTGTCCTTGGGGTAGATTCCTAGGAATGAAATCATTGGATCATATGGTGTTTTAGTGTGCTGAGGAACCCTCCACATAGCTTTTCATAGTTTTCTGCAAGAGTAGAAAACTTGGAAATCTTAATTGCACATTGCTACATAAAATAAGTTGATATAATCATGCTGCATGACATTAATTATATGACATTCTGGATAAGGTAAAACTATGGCAATGGCAAAAACTTGAATGGTCTAGAGATTTGTGGGGAGACAGAAGGACTAATAAATGGAATTTGGCAGATTATTAGGGCAGGGAGTGATTCTTTGCAATACGATAATGGAAGGTACACGTGATCATACATTTGGCAAAACTCATGGAACGTACAACAGGAATGTAAATTTGTAGACAGTGGGTGTGAATTAATAATAATGTTAGCTCGTCAGTTTTAATGAAGTTACAACACCTAATGTTAATATTACTAATAAGAGAAGCTGTATGGGGTGGGATGAGAGGATATATGGAACCCTTGAATTTCAGCCTTATTGTTCTGGAAGCCTAAGAGTGCACTGAAAACAAAGTCTGTTAATCTAAAATAGGACATGAATGAGTTCTCTTGACACAGTTGAACATCAAGTTAAATGTGTTACTCAGATGGAAGTCCACAAGAAAGAGAATCCTTTTTAAAATAAAGCAAATTCTGTAGCCATCAACTGCAGAGAAGCAGACTTCACTGATTTTATCATGAGAGGCATGATGAATATTGTCATGTTTGTGTCACAGTCCAGAAGGCTTTGTCCTCTATAAGAGAGAAGTAATGTTCACTCCTTCAAAGTTATCTCCTCGCTCTGTAGTCTCCACAATCATTTTCATATAGATTGGCTCAAGCACTAAAAACATAGGGAGAAAAATTTATCCAGGAGTCTTGACACATTGGTTATAATATGATCCATCTCATTATATTGACAGTGATAACCCAGGAGTCAATCAGTGCCCCAAACTCCGGATTTCAGGGCCCTTGCAACATTTTCCAATGAGGTTCATTTACTTTCCTATGTCGGAGAATTGTTTACATGATCGTGGGTGGGTTAATGATGTCCACGCCTTGTTGTCCTGTTTTTGCAATTATTTCAACAAAATTAGAGTTTGCTAACCATGTACTCCAGTGTCCTCAAAATTAGCAAGGTAGAAGTGCATTGCATAACAATATTTTCTCTATGAAAATTCTGGTTTGTGCTCCAGCTTGAGCGACTCTTCTTATGCTGGTAGAAATGGAAAAGATGGAATTTTGTGTGGCTATCAGCTTAAGCATTTCCTAAATATTTTATCATATAAAAATATACAGAACAGGGTCCTCCCTGATGGCGCAGAGGATTAAAGCCCAGCACTAAAAAGTTAAAGCCACTTCAGCATGAGTTTGATCCCTGCCTGGGAGGTGACCCACATTGTACAGCAGACCTCTCCTGGCCTGCCTTGCTGCTCCCCTCAGCAGTGTACTTCAGTCAGTCAGCCTGTTCTGCTCCCCACTCTGTCTGTGGTGAATCCTCTCACCACCCCTGCACCTCTGGCCTGTACCCAGCTCTGTATGAAAAATAAAT